GGTCCTGTGAAGATGGTAGTACCATCCTTGTTTCATTGATGTAGGACATCAACTTAAGGCCCCAGTGACAAAACCAAAAGCAGAATCCAGTTTCAGCTGACTTTAAAGCCTGAGCTCCTTACTCCACTCTTCTGTCTCGTCCCCTTAGAGACAAAAACAGTGGGAAGTGCTTGAAACACTGAAAATCAATGAAAGCCAATATTTATTTATTGTAAAGAGTGTTAGAAATGAACAGGAAGAAGACGGACAATCCAGGGGAGGAGAGGGCAGGGGCTCGGAAGAGTAGCCGTCTGTTGACAGTCTGTCCCCACATCAGCCCGTCTTCATGGTGAGTGGGTTTTGTCAGCCAGGCCTTTGTCACCTCGTGGCATAAAAATAGTCTCTGATATTTTCTTCTAGTGCTTTTATAATCTATCTAGAATTTGCTTTGTTTTTTAGTGTAGTTGAGGTAGGGGATCGAACTTCTTTCCCCTGCATGAAAATCGAATTGTTTCAAAATTTTCTACTGATTGGTTCATTCTTTCTTCACTAATCTAAAAATACTGTCTTTATCTGGACTCTGTTCTATTGACCCAGTTACCTTTTCCTATACCAGTACCGGCACCACACTGCCTAATTCCAGTTGCTCTGGAACATGTTTTATAAATGGTAGGGTAAGCTCCTGCTCTTTCATCATCTTTTTCATAGATTTCATAACTATTCTTGCACAATTTCTCTACCAAATGTCAAATGGCCAGAATTTGTTGAATATTTATCTTGGATTGATATAGGATTGCATTGAATTTGTGGGTTAATTTGAGGACAACTGATATCTTTACAACATTCTAGGAAGATGGTATCTCATGCTATATACACATTTTTTACTTTAATGTCCTTTAGAAGAGTTTTAATGTTTTCATCACATAGGTCTTATGCATTCTCGGCTAAGTTTATCCCTAGGTACTTTATGCAGTTTTATTGGTATTTTAATGGGCTATTTCTTCTATTTCTTAGTTATTTGTGTTATAGAGGAAAGTTTTTGAGGATTATATGTTGATCTCCTGATTTTGTATGTAGCATCTTCCTGAATTCTTATATTGCTTCCAGCCTAAAGGTTGTCCATCATTTCATATGCAAACATGCTTGTCTCTTCCTTTCCCGTATTTTTCTTACTGCATTGACGAGGACCTCCTCAACAGTGATCAATAGTGACCATAATGATAGGCATCCTACTGTTATTCTTGGCTTTAAAACCACGCTTAGGTTTCTGCTAGATACTTTTTTTTTAAATGAGCCCAAATACCTTTATTTTTTATTTTTTTAACATTTTTTATTGATTTATAATCATTTTACAATGTTGGGTCAAATTCCAGTGTTCAGCACAATTTTTCAGTCATTTATGGACATATACACACACTCATTGTCACGTTTTTTTCTTTGTGATTTATCATAACATTTTGTGTATATTTCCCTGTGCTATACAGTGTAATCTTGCTTATTAGTCTGGTAATTTTTAACGTAGGATTTTAGAACTAGAGGAGACCTTAGAGCTCATCTATTTCAATCTCTTCAGTTTCCAGTGAAGAAAGCACAAGAGACGGGAAGAATATTTATCGTAATGCTTCACCCGAATTTATTTACCAGCAAAACTACTTCCCCAGCCAAAGCTGAG